ATTGGATATTTTATATATTTAAATTTTTTTTTTCTTTTTACTCTCTTTAATTTTGGGTGGATATGCAAACTTATATTACACGAAAGGTAGTTAGAGAAAGTTTTGACAAGAGAGAAATGATGAGAACAACACTTTAGAGACATATTATTTTCTTATGTGAAAATTTTGACAAAAGAGAAATAATGAGGCCCTACCCAATTGAAATGATTACATTGGTTTGGGTCTAAATGATAAAGAAAGTATTTTCTATATTTAGAGAAAATATTTTAAATATTATATTAGGCATAAATCATGTAAGATATCATGAAATGGTAGTATGAGTTTTGGGGAGTCTTATGGTCTGTTTGGGGGGTGGTCATGACACTACAGTGCAGTATGGGCCGTACTGATGGGGTGTTAAATAACCTTTTACATGCTTTCTCAAAATTTGTGATAGGAGAGTTATGTTTTAAAATGTGAGCTGACTGAGTGAGATACTACTACAAAGCTATAATTTGACTTTTTGAAAATAAAAATATAGTAGCCATCATAGTTTCTTGAATAAGATTTTCTTCTGAAGCAATTTCACATCTGTTCTTTTAAACAGCTGCAGCTACTCCAAACAAAACCATTTAATAATTATTATCTGACGATCAAAATTGTCATCTTAATAATTATTATATTAGATGAAAATCAATGCAAGATATCAAAAGTTGGAGCAAGTGGAGAATTACTCACTCTGGAAGGGAAGAACAATCAACTAGGAAGATAGGTATCAGTAGAGTTTAGAAAAAAGTTCACCTTTTACGACTAGTTTATGTTAGCTCTTAATGATCTCATGTTTGATTCATCTCAAGTTTATATTCTCATCACAAAATTGAACTCTTAAATTACCATTAGACTGCATGAGAAAAGAAAACTATTTTTAAACAGTCTAGAAGCAAAATATAATCTTATGGGAATGCCACGTATAAACATGCCAACTTCCCCTCCAAGGCTCATTTAATTTATGCCTCAAAGAGCACGGAAATAATAATTAGAAATCTAAACTTAAACATATATGATTCAAGTCAATTTCAAATTAAATTATAAATAAATATGTTTATTTTGAGCTGAGCTGCAATCATCACTGGGGTATGCTGAACTTTACTTAAAGACAAAAGAAGGCAAACTTGGCACCATCATCACAAGATTACTTGAAGTAAATAAGAGAAACAATAGCAAAGAATATGCTTGTATGACGAGCATGAGTCCAATCCTACATTGCTGGCTATACATGCGCTGATGCATATTCTATTTTATATATATATATATACATATATATATA